TTGCTGCCAGCAGATAGAGCAAGGCTGCACCCTAGACAATGACAAGTTCAGAAAGAGTCCAACTCTGCTCCGGGTGCTGCCCCTTTGTGGTGGCATCATAGAGCCATCCCTGTGCCTGTTTCTGCAGAAGTACTGCTGTGACAAGGCCATGCACAGCTGCCCAAGTGCTGTCCACACCTGCACCCTTGTGAGGTCAAATGCCTCTAGAAGAAGGGTGGTCACATCCACAGCCTGCGCCCCAAGAAAGTCAAATAAAACGGGTAATTGTTTGGCTTAGGACACCTGAGATCTGATGATGTTTTTAACTGAAGCAGAAGGACAAAGAAGTGATGATGCTAAGATTGGACCTAGCGACACAGATCAGTGTGTAAGTGCTGCTGCCAACCTTCAACCCTGACTCTGATCCGTACTGTGTAGTGAGAAAACCGCCTCCTGTACTTGTCCTCTGACCTTCCTGTGTGTGCTGGGGCACATGTGAATGCACACACATAAAGGAAAAGTAAGTGTGATTTAAAGAAAGAAGTGTAAATTAAAAATAAGTGTAATTTAAAGTTGTAATGGAAAGTACACATATCAAAAAAGAACAAACAACCAGAAATAGTGGTTACACATTTATACCAAGCATTTGAGACTATGAAGAAGAGGATTATATTTTACTCCATAAAGAAGTACACAAAGAGAGCCTTCACACAAACCTTCAAACATTCTGAATATGTGTAGATATTTCAAATAAAAAGTGAAAATGAATAGAGCAAACTCACATGCAAATTTATATTTCTTTTTTTTTTCAGGATAGGATTTGTTGTGTAGTATTGTTGCGTGTCCTAGATCTTGCTCTGTAGACCAGGCTGGGCTGGAAAACAGAGAGATCCACCTGGCTCTGCCTCCCGAGTTCTGGGATTAAAGGCGTGTGCCACCACCACCTGACTAAATTTATATTTCTTATGTGTAATAGTCATACATGTCTGATACCACCTGGCTCTGACAAAGATTACAACAAAAGGAGACAGAAAATTATGTGGTTATGGAAATGTCATCCATCGAAGAATTGATTGCAGAGTCTACTGCCTGACCTAGACACAGCCTTGGGGAAGTCAGAGCCTGGGGCCTGAGGAGGGCACTTCCCCTTCCTGTGGGGCTGCTCCAGTACAACCATGTCATGGGGAGTGTCCAGCCTCCAGAGACCACACCCTGTGTCTCCTGTCCCTCCAGACAGTCTCTGTAGCTCTGCCCATGAGCACAGTTGCAGCCTCCAGGAGGAGATGCCATGACCTTCATTTTCACAGCCCTGCTCTGTCTGGGTGAGATGTGCAGAGGGGGAGGGGATACTGTGGTCTAGGGTTGATGCTGCTCCAAAGCCTAGCACTGGTCCATCAGGAAACCCCAGGGTCTCAGGAGGTTCTGCAGAGGAGAGGACCTGTTCAAGATTCAGGGACAAACCTCTTACAGGGAACTCTATTTCAGGACTGACTCTGGGCCTCAGGACACCAGTGCTGGCAGGTGAGTGTCTGCAGATGTCCTGACCTTCACTTCTGATCAATCCTGCAGCCATGCCTGGGCGGTGAGGATGGAGAACAACACATGTGTGATGCCCCTGGGCATGGCTGGAGGGCTGGGGGTGGGGACCACAATTGGATGATGGCTGTCCTGAGTTCTGGCTGCTCTTTTTCTTGTAGGGGGCATACCTAAGCCTATCCTCACAGTTCAGCCAGACTCTGTGGTCTACAAGCAGACTAAAGTGACCTTCTTGTGTAAGGGGACCAGAGTAGCCAAACAGTACATACTGTATAAAGAGGGACTCCATTATCTACCGAGCACAGAGATTCCACAGAAGCCTAAGAAGAAGGCAGAATTCTCAATCCCAAAAATAGACGCCAATCAAGCAGGGAGATATCAATGTCGATATCAGACTCAAGATGGATGGTCACAGTTCAGTGACTCCCTGGAGCTGGTGGTGACAGGTGAGAGGACACACAGGCTTTCCAGCCTTAGCCTTGACTGTCAAGAATTGGTTCTGATCACAGGGCTAACCCCACCTAGAGCCAAGCAGGATAGTGAGGTCTGATAGATTTAACTGATTTCTCCTTCTCCCCCAGGAGCACACAGTAAACCCAGCCTGTCAGCCCTGCCCAGTCCTGTGGTGTCTGAGGGAGGACATGTAACCCTCCAGTGTGTCTCAAAACAACGATACCACAGGTTCATTCTGACTGGGAAAGGAACACGGAATATCTCACAAATGCTGGATTCAGAGTATAACTACTCTACTCAGCACTACAAGGCCCTGTACTCTGTGGGCCCTGTGACCTCCAGCCAAAGGTGGACATTCAGATGCTACAGCAATGACCAGAGAAGCCCACTGGTGTGGTCAGAACCCAGCAACCCACTGGAGCTCCTCTTCTCAGGTGAGGAACTTCAGCCTTTGTCTGGAATGATCTGAAATGATACACATGCTCAGAGAGGCCTTGGTGAGTAGTGTGTGGTGTGTGATATGTGTGAGCTGTCAGGGCTCCTTAGGCCATTGACACAGAGCATGGTAGAGAGTGTGGGACACAAGATACAGAATCCAAGGCAGACAATAACAACAAAGCACAGGTGGAACGAGACAGATGAATCTTTATGGGGTCTTCTCTTACTCCAGATCAGCTCATGTACCATCCACAAGAGCTTGAGGAAATCCACAGAAGAGAGGGAGGAAGTGTTGTAGGAAACACAAAGGTTAAGGACACCAGGAGAACATGGCCCACAGAATCAACTAAGCAGGGATCATGAGGGCTCACAGAGTTGAAGCAGCAGCCATGGAGCATGTATGGGTCTGCCTTAGGCCCTCTGAACACATGCTGCGGTGGTTTACCCTGGGTTCTATTTTGTTTTGTTTTTTAGAGTTACACTGTGTAGCTCTGTCTGTCCTGGAACTCACTCTGTAGACCAGAATGGCCTTGAATGCAGTGAGATCTCACTGTGTCTGTCCCCTTAGTGCTGGCATTCAAGGCGTGTGCCACCACCACCTGGCTAGCTTGGGGTTTTTATTAGACTCATAGCATTGGGATGGGGAAATCTCTGACTCTTTGCCTGCATGTGGGATACTTTTCTTCCTATTGGATTGACTTGTGCAGCCTTAATATGAGGACATGAGCCTAGTTTTATTGCATGCTGTTATGCCATGTTTGGTTAATATCACTGGGGGCCTCTTCTCTTCTAAAGAAACAGAAAAGCAGTGGATCTGGGTTAGAGAGGAGGTGAGAAGGCTGCTTTCAGGATGTATTTTATGACAGAAGAATAAATTAAGAGAAAATAAAAGTGCCAACCACAAGTGAGATTTTCTCCATGCCACTGTCAGACACACTCACCTCCTGTCTCCTACTTCCTTGCAGGGACCCTCCACAAACCCTACATTAAGGCTGAGCCAGCCTCTGTGGTCACCTCAGGGAGTGCTGTGTCCATCTGGTGTGAGGGGAACCTTGATGCAGAAATATATGTTCTGCATAAAGAGGGAAGCAAAAAACACTTAGGCACACGGTCCCCAGAGAAGCCTGGGAACAAGGCCAAGTTCTCCATCCCTTCTGTGACACAGGAACATGGAGGACAATATCGCTGTTACTGTTACAGCTCAGCTGGCTGGTCAGAGCCCAGTGACACCCTGGAGATTGTGGTGACAGGTGAGGGGACAGTCAGGGTCTCAGCCCTGGGCTCTGCTCTCAGGAATAATTGCCCTCCCACAGCCAAGTCCTGGAAAGCATGGAGGTTGTGTAAGCCCATGTAACAGTCTGCCTTCTTCTCTCTTAGGAATCTACAACAACAAAACCAGCCTGACAGCCCTTCCCAGCCCTGTGGTGACTTTTGGAGAGAACATGACTCTCAACTGTGTCTCTAAGAAGGGATATGACAAGTTCACTCTCACCAAGAAAGGTCAGAAGTTCCTCAGCTCTCAGAACTCACAGTTTATACCCAGTATCACTCAGTACCAAGCCTTGTTCTCTATCGATCATGTAACACCAGATCACAGAGGGACATTCAGATGTTATGGTTACTACAACCAAACTCCACATTTGTGGTCAGTACCCAGTGAAGCCCTGGAAATACACATCTCAGGTGAGTCAGCCCTATCATTGACCAATCCTGTCCCACTGGGTAGTTACAGATAGAGAGTGATAGAGGAAGAGCCTGGTAGCTGATCCGCCTGAGCCCCACACCTGGGGAGAAGTAGTGACATGTGCAGGGCAGGATGGGAGGGGGTCTGTGTTTGGTAAAAACCAGCTTCTCAATCCCTAGTCTGACACCTTCCCTCTAGGTCTGTCCAAGAAGCCCAACTTGCTGACTTACCAAGGCCAGATTCTGGACCCTGGGAAGAGCCTCACCCTGCAGTGTTGCTCTGACATCAACTATGACAGATTTGCTCTGTACAAGTTAGGGGGAGCTGACTTCACCCAGAATGGGGGCCAGTGGACCCAGAGTGGCCTCTCCTTGGCCAACTTCACAGTGGGCCCTGTGAGCAGCTCTATCGCAGGCCAATACAGATGCTATGGTGCACACAACCTCTCCTCTGAGTGGTCAGCCTCCAGTGACCCCCTGGACATCATGATCACAGGTGAAGAACTAAATAGATTTCCTCTGATACCTAACCTCTTCATGGGTTCTCATGGGGGAGTTAAGGAGGTGATGGCTGGGATGAGGGACAGGGATCTTATTCAGGAATAGATGCAGAGGCAGGAGAACAGGAGAGGAGCTAAGTCAGCGAAAAGATACAGAGTCCCAGGTGCTCAGGGCAGACACAGGTGAGATGTCAGCTCAGAACAATGAAGGCAGCCTCTCACCATCCCTCTTCTCCTTAGGACAGCGTCCCTTCAGTCCTTCACTCTCAGTGAAGCCTAACTCCACAGTACACTCTGGAGACAACGTGACTCTCATGTGTCAGTCAACATTCAAAGTGGACACTTTCATTCTGTCCAAAGAGGGAGCAGCTCACCAACCCCAGAGACTAAAATCAAAGTCTGAAGCTTGGGACTTCCAGGCAGAATTCTCCATGAGTGCTGTGATGTCTGACCTTTCAGGCACCTACAGGTGCTATGGATCTCAAGACTCATCTCCTTACCTGTTGTCATATGCCAGTGGCCCTGTGGAGCTCACTGTCTCAGGTAAGGTGACCCTGAACTCTCAGAGTGACTTACAATCCAAATCCTAGGAGAGCCCTTGACTTCGATGGGATTAAGGGGACAATAGGAAAGTTAGTCAGAAGGCACTTTCCCTGCCAGAGAAGTGGATTCCAGCAGTGGTCCTTCTAGTAATGTCCACTCTACCCTCTATTACAGTCTAGGTTTCAGGTAGACAGCATGAGGATCTTGGGGAGGTTAGAGGATAGTGAGCAGAGACCGGCCCCTGGGTTAGCATCTAACCCTCACCCCCTCTTGTTCTGTTTCCTAGAACCTAGTGGAGCCCCCAGCCCAACACCCTCAAAGTCCATGCCAACGGCTGGTGAGTATCAGGCACCTCAGTGCAGAGGGTATGCTCCATCCCCAGGCTGTCCACAGCTCTCAGCTCACTGAAGTCCTCACTTCTCTGTCAGTTTAGTTTGTGAGTAAGGGAGGCAAATAGAGATCCCAACAGAGTTCCCAAATCCAGGACTAGAGGCTGGGATACAGAAGGTGGCATCCAGAGAGAAATGTTCTGGCTCAGCCTAGAGGATGGGGAGGGTGTTGAGTGGAGAGCAGAGGTCACAGACATTTGCCTCCCCATCCTGCATCTAACACCCTGAGAACAAACCTCTCTCACCTGCATGGAGTCAGCTTCCAGAGGTCTAATAAGGACTCTGTTGGAAGGTGGGGCCCAGATGAGCAATAGCTGACTATTGCTGATATACAGCTGAATACAGCTGATTCTGGAGATGCTGACTTGGACCAGCCTTTCCCTTTCTGGATTGGCTGCTGTTTCTTTGAGTAAAAAGGGGTGAAGCCTGGTCCACGTGTCTAAATTTCTTTCAGTGCTGGCCTTGGCTCTGACCTCTCCTGACAGAGGAGACCCCAGTACCTGATTCTGCAGTGGGTCTGTCACACAGTTTAAGCAACCTGCAAGGGTGTAGCAGGGGGCCATGGCAGGGCATTTAGGATCTTTCCCTCCATCTCATGAGGCTCAGCTAGATGGAGTGAAAGGCTGGAAGTAAGAGTCTCTGGGTTGGGGCTGGAGAGATGGCTCAGAGGTTAAGAGCACTGGCTGTTCTTCCAGTGGTCCTTAGTTCAGTTCTCAGCAACCACATGGTGGCTCACAACCATCTATAATGAGGTCTGGTGCCCTCTTCTGGCTTACAGGCTGAACACGCACTGTAAACATAAATAAATAAATAAAGGAAGGAAGGAAGGAAATAAAGAAATAAAGAAATAAAGAAATAAAGAAATAAATAAATAAATAGAATCCCTGGGTTCCACACCAAGCTCTGCCAATTCCAGTCAGGTGATCTGAGGCAGGTGAACTGTAGGGTAGAAAAAGAGACAATTCCTTGTTGTATGATTGTGAGGATGGAAGATGATGAGTGCAAAGACCCAGCATGCGTTGTCACACAGTAGGTACTCAGTTCAGCAGTAACATTCCCCACTCATGATGTCACTTGTGTCTCAGGACTGGAAGGGTACCTGAAGGCTCTGGTCGGAGTCTCTGTGGCCTTCTTCCTGTTCCTCTTCATCCTCATCTTCCTCCTTCTCCGACGAAGGCATCAGGGAAAATTCAGGAAGGATGGTGAGTAAGGTGTGGGTGACCTGGGTCTCAGGATCCCATGTGAAGAACCAAGCAGGGGATCAGGACACCAGCCCCAGGGAAGCCTCAAATGGGCTGGGTAGTTTAGAAATGCTTGCAGATTTCAGATCAGAAAGATCATGATCTCAGAATGTGTGTAATATCAGGTATTCTGTGAGTTTCACCATGTCCTGGGACATTTGCTCACTCACCCATGGTGTAAAGGTTCCTTCCTTCCTTCCCTGTACATGCCTGGGGGCAGAGGGAGGCTGAGACTCTTCTCTCTCTTGCAGCCCAGAAAAATACAGAATTGCAAATTCCTACAGGAGCTTCAGAGCCAATAACCAGAGACAGGGTCTCTGAGAAGAGGTAACTCATGACCAGAGACATAGACCCCAGCTTCCTGACACACCTCACTGACAACTGACATCTTCTTGTCTCTCCAGATCCAATCCAGCTGCTGCCACCCAGGAAGAAAGCCTTTGTGAGATAAAGAGGGTCCTGGGGAGGGAGATGTCTGAGGACTCAGCATTGCAGGGGTGGTGGAGAGGCTCTGGGGTCTTTGCTATTTGGGTCTGAACTTCTCACTATAGACCCTGGATATCACAACACTCCCTGATTCTCTGTCCCCACCTGGGACAATACAGAAAACTAAGGGTCAGAGTCATCCCTAGACTCTGCTCAGGAGACATTCTGTTTGTTCTTCTGACAGACGCTTCAGTGGAGGACACACAGCGTGAGGATGGCGCCAAGCTTGACAGTTGGGTGAGTTTCCTTTCCCTATCTGCAGTGCTAAGAACTTAGGGCCCAGGTTAGTCCAGAGGATGCCTTTTTTGTTCTCCTTCTCTTGGCCCTAGAAGCAACCAAAGCTGACCCTTCCCTCTCTTCTGCAAGTACAACCTGCCTCACTCTCTCCTGATTTCCCGGGATCATGTGTCTCATTGATCCTGTCCCCTTTCTGGCTCCTTGGCATCTGTCTGATTGTCTTCTGAGAGGCAGCCTGGAAGGGAAAGCCCACAGAAACATCTAAGGGACTAGCAGCTGCAGGCAGGAACCAAAGGGACTTCAGAAATGTGGGGTTTTGGATTGTGTGTGTGGATGTTCTACAAACATGTATGTCTCTGAACCACATGCCTGCATGGTGCTCCCAGGGGACAGAAGAGAGTGCCATATACCCTGGAATGAGAGTTACATATGAATGCAGGTTGCCATGTGGGTTCTGGGAACCAAACCTGGATCCACTGAAGTAGTAGTCAGTGCTCTTAATCACATCTCTCCAGTCCCCAGAAATGTGTTTCCAGGAAGATGGGCTGTGTGAGTACAGTCAAGACAGCAAGGTTTAGAATGTCAAGATAAGAGGCCAGAACTGAAAGAAGGAAGCCCCAGAAGATCCCATCAGGGATGCTGTCATCTAAATGGGTCACTATGGCCTCGCTGTGGAAAACTGGCCAGAGATACCCAGGGGAACAGGGAGACACTGTCTGTCCCTCATTACTTCCCTGCTACAGAGATCAGCTGAAGAAGACCCCCAGGGAGAGACAAATGCCCAGGTGAAAGGCTCCAGGCTCAGGAGGGCAGGGGCTGTCCTTCCTTCTGTCATGTCAGGAGAAGTCCTGGACACCAAAGATGGACAAGCAGAAGATGACAGAGAGATGGACGCTCAGGTGAGTCCTGTCCTCACCAGGACTTCAGCATCCCCCAAGTCAAGCATAAACACTCCTCTCACTCTCTCTTCCACTCCAGGATGCTGAATCTGAGGAGCCCCAGGATGTGACCTATGCCCAGCTGTGCACCAGGTCACTCAGACAGGGGACAGCTGCACCTCCTCCCTCCCAGGCAGGGGAGGCCCCAGAGGAGTCCACTGTATATGCTGCTCTGGCAGTCACTCAACAGGGCTCTGTTCCCAGTAACAAGGAGCAATGACCCTCTGCCTGCCAAGGGACGTAACAGAGACCTCTAAGGGGTTCTGTGAACTTTTGGGAACCCAACTGCATTTTAACTAACATCATACATTTTGGAAATAAAGCAGATTTCTCAATAAACACATGAAATGAGAAACTAAATAGAAGGAAATGGTTTCACACTGAGTACTAGTTTTAATGACATCACTCATCAAAGCTGTGAAATGAGAAAATTTACTGGCTTGGCTGTACAGATCCATAATCCCAACCCCTGGGAGGCTGAGGCAGGAGAATTGGCATTGTTTTGTGGTTATCTTGGCATACCTACTGAATTTCATGACAGCCTGTATAGCTTGAGTTTTCCTGCACGGCCCACAGTCAGGACAAATCTCTCTCACCCGCCTGTCCCACAGCAGCTCAGACCCAACCAAGTAAACACAGAGACTTATTTTTCTTACAAACTGTATTGCCGTGGCAGGCTTCTTGCTAACTGTTCTTATATCTTAAATTCGTCCATTTCTATAAATCTATACCTTGCCACGTGGCTTGTGGCTTACCAGTACTTTACATCTTCCTTGTCCTAGTGGCTGCTGCAGGCCGTCTCCTGCTTCCTTCCTGTTCTTTTATTTCTCCTCATTGCTAGTCCTGCCCATTACCTCCTGCCTAGCCACTGCCAATCAGGTTTTATTTATTGACCAATCAGAGCAACTTAACATACAGACCATTCCCCAGCACAGCCAAGTGCAGACCATATCAGACACCTGCACTCTGGCCAGTGGTCCTAATCATTCTCTATGCAGACCTTCTGGGTAAAGCCATGAGGAATCCAAGAACGGGCTCCCACAGGACATACAGAACATCCCACAGCAAGCCTGGGCTACAGAGTGAGACATGTGTCAGACATTAACCACCAAAGGCCAGGGTGGATTTACGCAACTGAAATCTCAGCACTTTGAAGGTGTGGAAAGGAGGATCAAGAAGCCAAGGTCATCTTCACTTACACAGCACAGGAGTAAGAGGCCAGCCTGGAACACATGTGACACTGCTTTAGAATAAACAGGTCAGGCATGATGGTGACGCCTTCAATCTCAGCACTTAGGAGGTAGAGACAGGCAGGTCTCTCTGAGTCTGAGGCCAGCTTGTCTCATAGGAAATTCCAGGACAGCCAGGGCTACATAGAGAAACCTTGTCTCAAAGAATAAGTAAATAAAATAGGGCCGGTGAGATGGCTTGGCCAGTAAAGGTACTTGCCACCAAGCCTGATATCCTAAGTTCAATCAACAGGAATGGGGGAAGGAGAAAACTGACTCCCACAACTTGTTTTCTGACCTCCACCTAAGTCCTTGGTTTCCTCCCCACACCCAAGAAATAAATAAAACAATTTAAAAAAATAAACTAATAATCATAAATGAAAGCTGGGTATGGTGGTATAGGCCTGTGATCCCAACAAGGCCGGCCTCCAACCTGCTCTCCTTCTGCCTGGGTTCCCATATGCACAACATATATTCACTTTATTTTCTTAAAGGTTTATTGTGTTTTATCAATGTGTATGTATATGCGTTTGTGTGTTTTTGTGCTGTGTGTATACAGATGCCCATGGAGGCCAGAGTGGACATTGGAGCTGGAGTTATAGGTGTTTGTGAGCTACATGCTGTGGGTGCTGGAAACTGAACTCAGGTCCTCAGCAAGATCAGTGCTGTTAATCACAGAGCTACCTTTCCAGCCTCCCTACAAATGTACTAACAGCAGAGCACTATGAACAATTTCATACCAACAAATTAAGAGCTGTACTTAAAATGGATAGATCTTTTGATGTAAATAAGTTATTTCATTGTTCAATAAATAAAAAAATCTGAGTGACTTCCCACACATTGAACACAATGTCACTAGAAAAGATCCCCTTTGAAAATTCACTTTCTGGAAGCCTGTGATTTTTTTTCCCAAGTGTTTATGTGTTTGAAATAAAGACATTATGAAACTAGAGAAAGAGGAAATATAGCCCAACATAGTTTATCAGACCAAAAAATATTGTTTAAAAAAATCTGATGAAGGAAACCTAGAAAGAAAGTTCTTTCATATCAGACCAGATGTGACCCCTTAAAAAGTCAATGAGCCAACAACCAGGGAGGCTTCATGAGACTGACTGAGACCCCCGGCATATATATTACAGTTGTGAAAGTTGGTCTTTTGGGACTTCTAACAGTGAGTACAGGGCTATCCATGACTCTTTTGCCTACTTTTGGGACCCATTCTTCCTACTGGATTGCCTCATCTAGCATTAATAGACGAGGAGGTGGCTAATCTCACTGAAACTTTATATACAATGGCTGGCTGATATCCATGGGAGGCCTTCCATTTTCAGAAGAGAAACAGGAGGAGGAGGTTATTAATTTGAGATGGGGAGGCATGTGAGACCTTGGTGGAAGGGTATTTTGAGGGGGGACTAGAGTGCTGTGGAATGTCATTCTAAATTATGTGCATGTGTGTTGCTCTGTTTGGTTGATAAATAAAATGCTGATTGGCCAGTAGCCAAGCAGGAAGTATAAGCAGGGTAAGCAGACAAGAAGAATTCTGGGAAGAGGAAGGCTGAGTCAGGAGACACCAGCCAGACACAGAGGAAGCAAGATGACAAGGCAGAACTGAGAAAAGGTACCAAGCACATGGCTAAAAATAAGTAAGAATCATTAGTTAATTCAAGTGTAAGAGCTAGTCAGTAATAAGCCTGAGCTAATGGCTGAGCCATTAAAATTAATATAAGCTTCTGACTGATTATTTTATAAAAGGTTGTGGGACCATGGGTGAGAGATTTGTCCTGATCATGGGACAGGCAGGACACAGAAAAACTTCCAACTACATTTGGTGTACTAATGCTGGACTCTCAAATTTCCAGAAGGCCTAAAAGAGCTTTAAAAGGGCTTCTAAACACACAGTAATGGAGCCAAAAACAGCTTTCTACTTCATGTCTCATGTAGGGCGAGATATAGAGACACCAAGGTTCAGAGATGCTATGTTTTGCAGACTGGAGCTACAGTATTGGGGGTTCACAATCCACAGGCTTGAGTGCAGCAGGCAGATTCCTGCTACTGTACACAGTGGCCTCTGCAAGCAATGCAGCATGCTACATAATGTATTTAGCTTTTGCTAATACAGAAAAAGAGAGAGAGAGAGAGAGGTTTCTGGGCAACATGTTGCTTCTTAGAGACAAAGACACACTGCTTCCTGGAGTTGGCAGTCGGCATACTTCTGCCATGATTGGAAGCTGAGGTGGGGGTGGAGTCAGCTGTCAAGGCTTTCCTGTTGGTCCTAGCCAAGCAGTTCAGCAGTTTAAAATCTCTCCTGGTCAGAGAAAGATGACAGATTCACAATAAAACAGGTTCAGGCCCAGCAGTGTGGCAGATGCCTTTAATCCCAGCACTTACGAGGGAGAGCCAGCCTGGTCTACACAGCAAGATCCACTACAGGCACTAAAACTACAGAGAATCCCTGTCCTGAAAAAGAAAACAAACAAAAAAACAAAAACAGATTCAGATGAAATAAAACTGGAAATTGTTTACAATGTGTGTAAAAATGTATATAGGCTAGGAAGATAGAGGAATAGAAGGATAGACAGTGATGTAAAGAAATAGATAGTTTTAAAAAATAAAGTTTTTAAAAAGAAAGTAAAACTATTTTTAAGAAATAAGCCGCATAAAGATGGAAATCACACAGAGTCTGGATTATATAGTCTTTGGAATTTTTAACTGCAGAAAGACATTTGATAATCCAAGACCCCCTGATAGGTCTCTGAGAGCACCATGGCCCAGATGACCCAATATTCAGAATGGCTTCAAGGCAATATAGAATACAGAGAATAT